GGATGGTAATTCCTTTGTTTACGTCTCATTTCTTCGGGGACAGTTATTGTTTGTATCCTTTATGGAATAACTTACGCTCAAAAAACTGCATCTTGGTAGTAAAAAGCAACATGGTTTTGTAGCATACAGTGTCACAAACAGAATGAGACCATCCACTAAGAAGAAAAAGTCAAAGATACGCGAAATATTGTTTATTTGAATTCTGGCGCTCTCTCATGATGGCTCATGACGCACGCTGTGACGCACCTGTCATCTGATGGGGGCATAACTTAGCGATCGGCTTTTTGCACAAATAATTCTTTTTTTTTTCTTCTTCTTCAACATTTTTCATATATGTGTGTGTGTTTTGTGGGGAATGTGGTTGTATCTGCATGATTACCATCTGTATGTCCGCACATCAGAGTGTGATTACTGTCTGTATGACAGCTATCAGTGTGAATGCGGTCTATATGAACGGCCATTAGAGTGTGATTATTGACTATATGGCCGGCCATCTGTATGATTACCATCTGTATGACCGGCCATCAGTCATGACATAGTCTCTGAAAAATGGTTGCAGGAATCTCATTTTTCATGGTATCTTCTTCAGATTTGAAATAGAAAGTCATGAGACATGTGACTTTCAACCCATTACTTTTCTGGATTGCTCCAGGACTGATTTCATGTATTTTTATATGAAATAAAAAAAAATCAGTGTGGTACAATTTTTTTCAAGGCACTTCACTGTCTATAACTTTTTATCTTTTTGAGCATTATCAACTCTGGATGATGGATAGTAAAGCCCAAATGGTCTTCTTTCCAAAGACACCAAAATTGTGTGTGTAGCACACTGAAGTAATAGGTTAATAGGATAGGTGCATACTTAGTTCTTTAACAGGCTTCTAAACAATAACTAATTCAGATGTATGAATATAAAAATAAATAATTAAGCAATTCATTATTAATAATTAATAAAATTAACAAAAAACAAATTGGTAACACTTTACAATAAGTTTTCATTTGTTAACATTAGCTAACTACATTAGCTAAGAGTGATACTTAAAATACATTATTTTAAAATTAAAAGTTGTATCTGTCATTATTTAACAGAACTGAGCTGACATGAACTAATAATGAACACTTGTATATTTAATAACTATTAATGTTAACTAGATTAATAAATACTGTAACAAATTTATTGCTCAATGTTAGTTAAGGTTATTTAGGGCATTAACAAACATTCACTAACGAGACCTTATTGTAAAGTGTTATCAAATATTTTGACAACTTTTAATATATGCTCTGATTTATGCTCTAAAATGACTTAACCCCTTCAGTCACTGCGTTTTTGACCTAGTTTTTTGTTTAAACCAATAAAATTTTATTTTTCTACAGTATAAGTAGGTCAATGGTCAACTGGTCAATGATTGGTCCCATGAAGATTTGATCTCTAAATTATTCTGATTGAGCTCAGGCTTCAGAAAGGCGGTTTTTTTTTCTAATCAGAGGAATTAAAATGGTAAATGTAAGATGTAAATGTATTTTTTTTGTTGTTTTGTTTTGAATTCTTCCAAAAATGTAAAATGCAAAAGCCAATTTAGAAAAAAGTTAAAGTAAAAATAATTAAGGTGTGTTTTACGCATTGTTTTTCACTAAAGAATAATAAAAAAAACTCTATGCCCAGCAAATCCATTAGGTAATATGCTCTCTTCTCCTTGGCCCCGCCCCCAGGTGGAAGCACGCCCCCTGGCATCACGGCTCCCACGGTGACCAGCATTCCATCTCCAATTAGTGTCAACGGTTTCACAGGGCTGCCTCCTCCTCAGGCCAATGGCCAGGCCCCAGCGGAGGCCATGTTTACCAATGGAATCCATCCTTACCCAGGTACTACATGCTCTCATTCACAGATACACAGCAGAAATATGGCAGATTTTAACCTTAAATTCTATTTAAAAACTCACAACTTTATGGTTACTTTTTCAACAGTAATATACAGGACTAATAATAAACAGTACGATTTTAATGTCGTCATCCTATTTTGACAATGTCCGTATTTCTTGCAATATAATCAAATTTTATGTATGTACATAAAGCAGTTTATATTGTGCACTGTTTACTTATGTGTTTAGAAATATAAGTGTTCTTCTATTTGACGAGTCAGCAGTCTTTTATTAAACACACAGGCTATGTGATTAAACATGTTTCTGGAAGTTTCCGCGTTTGGAAATGCCAGTGGTCGGCTGTTAGCTGTCACAGTGTGAGTCTGTGTGTGTTATGGAGTGGTTTTCATATCCAGTGCCACAAAGAAAAGCAAATGCCTGTATCCCAGTTTTGCAGGAAGTGGTGTTTAGGGAAGACTCGGAGAAGGGCGGCCTGGGCGTGGCACAGAGAAGTTGTTTTGGGGTTCAGGGAAGCTGCTTCCTGTCGTCTCTCTCAGAAGGTATAGAACTCCCTCAGACGTTAGTGTCGTGCAGTGTTGTTTTACTGTGTGTGTCTGGTGAGTGTGTATGTGTGTGTACGCTATATATACGGTAGACAGAGGGAGTGAAAGACTTGAGTAGTTTCTTCATGTTTGTTTGTTTGGTGTCGTCAGCTTTGTAGAGTGATGTTGTTGTTGTTGTTGTTGTAGTGTGGCAATAGTTATATGTGCATGCATTGTATTTGGCAGACGCTTTCATTTAAAGCTCAAGGGCAAGAGGTGATGCTCACACCTTCCGGAGTTCAATCCTACAGGCTTTTGGTTAGCAGCCCTGTAATTTACAGTATCCATTAGGATACACAACAACAATCGAGTCAAGTCATGTTTATACAATACAGATTGTGTCAAAGCTTCACAGTAATAAAAAGGAAAAAAGGTGCTGTCATTGCAGAATTGATCAATTATAAAACAAAGACAATTTTTGCTATAAGCAGCTCTACAGAAGACAATAGTGTTCAACTCAAGTCAGTTCAGTATTGATTCAGTTCAGTTCAATAACAGTGTCAGTTTTGCAAAGTTCGAAATTTAATACATTTATAAGCAGGTCTACAGTAGGCGACGTTGCCATTATTCAGCTCAGTTTAAATTTTCTTCTCATCCAACAAATAATGAAACTTTATTTTGATTATATGTAATATATATTAATATATATGCTCTAAATTGCTACATTAGATTTTTTTCGCAGATTTTTGGAGAAAATTAAAAATACAATCAAATTGGAGAGAATTAAAAATACAATAAAAGTCTTGCTCGCATTGAAATGTAAAAATAATTAATGCATGTTTTGTGTACTGTTTTTCACTAAATGAAGTATGACATTTAAAAAGTTTTTATTTATATTCACTAATATATTACAATACATATAATTATGTTTATTATTTATTTACCTACATATATTTCTGGTGAAATAATTTTTAAAAATCTCTTTCCTGCAAAAGCATTGGACCAACAACTCTCATTGAACTGTTCCCTTTAAAGGGACAATTTACCCCAAAAATTACATTTTATCATTTACTGAACCTCATATCAATATGCAAAATAGTATAATAACATCTATATAACATATTAGAAATTATTTTATCATTTTAACTATATTATCTTAAATTCGTGTACAAAAAGATCTGCCTAACAAGACAAACACTGCAACATTACATTAATATTAATACTGAAGTTCTCTGATGTCATTTTCACGATCAATACATTTGATAACTAAAATGATGGCACTAATTACATTTATATAAAACGAGAGCACAAGTCCTTTATATTTATAACACAGCTCCTATAAGTCCTATGCACTTATATATTGTAGCTCTTTTGTTAGTTTTGACTGCTTTTATTGTCCTCATTTGTAAGTCGCTTTGGATAAAAGCGTCTGCTAAATGACTAAATAAAATTAAATAAATAAATAAATAAGTCCACAGTGTAATACGAGATATTTGAAAGTTGCGTTGCTCTTAGTTCCCCAGGTAAGCAGTCTAATATAGCATTGCCATGGATGTCAACAAATATGAGGAAATATCTGAGATATGAATGCCGTGATTGACCAAGTATTGCAGAAAGCCAGTGTAATTTTCAGTGTAATTCACTGAAAATCTAGGTCATCTTCATTTTTTTATGTGCATACAGGTTTGGAATAACATGAGGGTGAGTAAATGATGACAGAATGTTCATATTTGGCTGAATTCTCCCAGCTTTTAAGTGAAATGTTACTCGAATGAGCCCCAAACACCCAATCCTGAGTGTGGATGCTGCAGTGTTTACCATGTCAGTGTTTTAACAGCGTTAAGTTACCAGGCTGCGAGTATGTGTATCAGTGTTTAGAACAGAGCGTCGCGGGCCGGGCCTGAATTGCCTTTATTACTGTGAAAGCTCTCAGCTGATTGATGTGCCGTATAGTGCCGTAGATCTATATTGTTTTCCGTACACTCTCCGGCTGTCTTTCCAACTCTCGGGCAGCGGGGAAGCTTGGCAGGGCCCTGTGCGAGCCCCACGGCTTAATTGTTTGGGGGTGAACGGTGAGGGGGAGGGAAGTGAGGTAAGCTCATTCCCGGCGCACAGCTCTGCCCGAACACACTCAAACGCACTCAATGACCCCAACTGTGTCTGTAACGCTCTCATCTCTCTCTTTCCGCAGCTCAGAGTCCCACTGCAGCAGACCCCTTACAGCAGGCCTACGCTGGAGTCCAACAATATGCAGGTCTGTCACTCAAAAGGAGGCTGTTTGTGATTTTCCTGCTTCCGAGTTAATAAAAAGTGCATGCGCTGTCTACGTGTGCTGGAATAAGAGGTGTGAAGTGTGTGTGTGTTATCTGACACATTGGCGCGTGTGTGTGTGTGTGTGTCTCAGCAGCCTTCCCCGCTGCATATGGACAGATCAGCCAGGCCTTTCCCCAGCCGCCTCCCATCATCCCTCAGCAACAGAGAGAAGGTGAGTCTGTCGCCTCCAGATATGTCACCTGTAAGAGTGAAGGATTCAGCGTGGTCACTCTGTGTGACATTTTCCATAATTGTCTTTTCATTGATGTCCTATAAAAAGTGAGATTTTATATATCGATTGTGCTGTATGCAGCAGTCACGCTGCCGTTCAAAAGTTAATGGTCAGTAAGATTTAGAAAGGACGCATTAAATTAATCATAAGTGACAGTAAAGACATTTACAATGTTACAAAAGATTTCTGTTCTTTTGAACTTTCTATGCAAAGTAAAAAAATATATATATATATTTTCCTACAAATATTCTGCAACTGTTTTCATTAATAATAACATTCATAAGAATAATAAATGTTTCTTAAGCAGCAAATTGACATAGAATGATTTCTGAAGGATCATGTGACTCTGAAAACTAGAGTGATGGCTGCTGAAAATTCAGCTTTTCTTCACAGGAATTAATTAAATTTTTAAAATTGATTCAAATAGACACCCGTTATTATACCCATAACTCTAATAATATTTCACAATATTACTGTTTTACTGTATGTTTGATTCAAATAAATGCAGCCTTGGTGAGCATGAGAAAACATTTAAAAAATCTCACAGACCCCAAACTTTTGAACATTAGTGTACGTTCCAAGTAGTAAAATTAAATAATGAAGTTATAATTACATTTTTTTTTCAACAGCTATTGATTACCACAGACAATAATTTGGATCTGATATTAAGAGTTCAACAAACCCTTACAAGATTGACGGCCTGTCAGAGATCAACAGACATTAAGTCAAATTTGGTGTTCTTGGTTGACTTTGTAAAACATTAAACGCAAGATTGTGGGTTCGTCTCCCTCCAGTGGCTGCTATTATAAACTATATACTGAAATATCACCAACAAACCATCATACAGTCACGATTTGATGTTCCAGGTTAAAGCTACTGTACTCTTGCTTTACAAAAAGAAAGACGACTGCTATGCAAATGTCAGCACCCCATGTGCATGATTAGTTAACTGAGGAATGCAGATATAGAGAAGGTTTCCCTTTTGTGGTTCTCAAGATCTGTTATGCATTAATGTTGGTTAATGTTAAAGTTATTAGAAATTGATGTACAAAGGTTCTATTTGAGTAATGGACAAAACCAGTTTAAATTTATTCAGTATATAATGTATTGATACTGTAGTTGTTGGTTTCTAAAGCTTGAGAAATGATGCATATAAAAGTAAATTTAAAAAATGTAATATACTACAAACAGCATACAAAATAAATACAATGACATTGTATTTGCATTGTTAGTATCTATGCTGCAGTCATTCCCATTGGATTGTGGTCTGTGGTGCATGATGGGCCTTATATATGTCCCAAGAAATTAAAAAAAATATTTCAATCTTTCAATCAGAGTAAGTGCCGTGATTTGATGAAAAAGCTCAAGGTCATTCAGCAGAGGAGATCATAATGACCATGATCCGTGAACTATAATAATTTGGATCAAGAAGTTTGTCCTTTCTCCGTATTGAAACGTGACGAATTCCAAATCTCCAATAACCTTTTGTAAACGGGTTTCTCCTATACAGCACTTTTTGGTCATTTTTTTAAGTTTGAAGGAAGCGCTAATCTAAAACAACTCTTTTCAGGAGTGCCTGAAGAACCGGGAAGTGTCGCCGCTGAGTATTTATTTGTACGGTTATTTCATCTATACAACTTAAGGAGAGAATTGCTACTTTCAGATGCCAGGGCAACTGCTCAATAAAGAGAAACTGTTTCTATAGTTTCTACTTTGGCAAGCCAAGTCTAATTTCGCCATTTGTGACTTTGTTTTGCCCTCCATCTGTCTTTATTCCTCTCATTTCCACCTATTCTTTCTGTGCTATCTGCTCTCTTTCGCTCCTGTCTAACCGCCTCTCTAATCCTCTGTATCCCACAATCCTTCTTGTCTTTCTCTCTCTTTCTCTGTCTCCAGGGCCAGAGGGCTGTAACCTGTTTATTTATCACCTCCCTCAGGAGTTTGGGGACGGCGAGCTGATGCAGATGTTCCTGCCTTTCGGTAATGTCATCTCCTCCAAAGTGTTTGTGGATCGGGCGACAAACCAAAGTAAATGCTTTGGTGGGTAAAAATGATAAGACACCTGTGAAGATTATTCTCATTCCTACTCACACTATTAACATTTTTACCTCATTTCTCTACAACAGCGAAGCTTTCGATTGAAGCCGGGTGCGCACTGTGTGGTTTTTGCTACGATCCGTTCGTCGGGCTAAATGGAGTTTTAGATCACTTAGTACAACATGTTTATCAATAAGCAACTTTTACAATGAATTGTAGCTTCTTAAGTTTCCAGTGTCTGAAATTTTAACGGAAGCAATGGATTTGAGCTTGTGCCAATTAAATATCTTCATTGTAACCAGACTATCAAAATGATTAAAAGTGGCAAATCCATTTGTGCAGTTTGGGGTTTTTCATTTTGGATTTATGTTATTACTTCGGTTTCGTGTGAAAATGCCAAAGTCAGAACAAACCCTGGTGACATGGTCAAAGTCGTAGATAATATGCATATTTTACACCTAAAATGTTGTTTCATCATCCAGTCTGAGAAGCAACAGGACAGGGAAAAAAATCACACAGTGTTCACCTGGCTTGAGACAGGAAAAAAGAATGAATGGAAATTTAAAGGTAAAAAAAGAAGAGGATGTAGTGTAGCATCTTTATGTCCTTAATCAGCGCGGGACATGAGGCTGTAGGGGGAAACCGCAGAAGCATGTTCGCGTGTCCCGCTCGTGACTAATGTGAACCTCTATATTTTAATTAGTGCTATCTGCAGCTTCACTGGCTCCTTGACTTATCAGAGGCATCCCATGCATGAACAAACACAACTGAGGAATGCAGATATAGAGAAGGTTTCCCTGTTGTGGTTCTCAAGATCTGTTATGCATTAATGTTGGTTAATGTTAAAGTTATTAGAAATTGATGTACAAAGGTTCTATTTGAGTAATGGACAAAACCAGTTTAAATTTATTCAGTATATAATTTATTGATACTGTAGTTGTTGGTTTCTAAAGCTTGAGAAATGATGCATATAAAAGTAAATTAAAAAAATGTAATATACTACAAACAGCATACAAAATAAATACAATGACATTGTATTTGCATTGTTAGTATCTATGCTGCAGTCATTCCCATTGGATTGTGGTCTGTGGTGCATGATGGGCCTTATATATGTCCCAAGAAATTAAAAAAAATATTTCAATCTTTCAATCAGAGTAAGTGCCGTGATTTGATGAAAAAGCTCAAGGTCATTCAGCAGAGGAGATCATAATGACCATGATCCGTGAACTATAATAATTTGGATCAAGAAGTTTGTCCTTTCTCCGTATTGAAACGTGACGAATTCCAAATCTCCAATAACCTTTTGTAAACGGGTTTCTCCTATACAGCACTTTTTGGTCATTTTTTTAAGTTTGAAGGAAGCGCTAATCTAAAACAACTCTTTTCAGGAGTGCCTGAAGAACCGGGAAGTGTCGCCGCTGAGTATTTATTTGTACGGTTATTTCATCTATACAACTTAAGGAGAGAATTGCTACTTTCAGATGCCAGGGCAACTGCTCAATAAAGAGAAACTGTTTCTATAGTTTCTACTTTGGCAAGCCAAGTCTAATTTCGCCATTTGTGACTTTGTTTTGCCCTCCATCTGTCTTTATTCCTCTCATTTCCACCTATTCTTTCTGTGCTATCTGCTCTCTTTCGCTCCTGTCTAACCGCCTCTCTAATCCTCTGTATCCCACAATCCTTCTTGTCTTTCTCTCTCTTTCTCTGTCTCCAGGGCCAGAGGGCTGTAACCTGTTTATTTATCACCTCCCTCAGGAGTTTGGGGACGGCGAGCTGATGCAGATGTTCCTGCCTTTCGGTAATGTCATCTCCTCCAAAGTGTTTGTGGATCGGGCGACAAACCAAAGTAAATGCTTTGGTGGGTAAAAATGATAAGACACCTGTGAAGATTATTCTCATTCCTACTCACACTATTAACATTTTTACCTCATTTCTCTACAACAGCGAAGCTTTCGATTGAAGCCGGGTGCGCACTGTGTGGTTTTTGCTACGATCCGTTCGTCGGGCTAAATGGAGTTTTAGATCACTTAGTACAACATGTTTATCAATAAGCAACTTTTACAATGAATTGTAGCTTCTTAAGTTTCCAGTGTCTGAAATTTTAACGGAAGCAATGGATTTGAGCTTGTGCCAATTAAATATCTTCATTGTAACCAGACTATCAAAATGATTAAAAGTGGCAAATCCATTTGTGCAGTTTGGGGTTTTTCATTTTGGATTTATGTTATTACTTCGGTTTCGTGTGAAAATGCCAAAGTCAGAACAAACCCTGGTGACATGGTCAAAGTCGTAGATAATATGCATATTTTACACCTAAAATGTTGTTTCATCATCCAGTCTGAGAAGCAACAGGACAGGGAAAAAAATCACACAGTGTTCACCTGGCTTGAGACAGGAAAAAAGAATGAATGGAAATTTAAAGGTAAAAAAAGAAGAGGATGTAGTGTAGCATCTTTATGTCCTTAATCAGCGCGGGACATGAGGCTGTAGGGGGAAACCGCAGAAGCGTGTTCACGTGTCCTGCTCGTGACTAACGTGAACCTCTATATTTTAATTAGCACTATCTGCAGCTTCACTGGCTCCTTGACTTATCAGAGGCATCCCATGCATGAACAAACACAACGCTATTCGATTTCGACTTAATATAAATGCAGTTAGCGGCAGGTGTTTCAGAGACTCAGACTTGATGATTTAAAATGCTGAGTTAGCTGAAATGTTCACAATACCTCAAGACAGAACAACCGAGAGTGAGAAAATAGATGAGAAAATGAGAGCAAATAATTTGCGTTGAAATGTTCGTGTGTTAAATGGCAGAATTTGGTTGTCATTGCTAAGACTTCAAGAACAGATTGAAGATGATTTACACCATACATTTTGTTTACCAGAATAACTACAAAACTATATAAATTGTAAACAATAATAAATAATGCATTTTTGTAGTAATTCAGGCTACCTTTTTAATGAAGTAGCTACACTACAAATTACAAACAAACCCCCATAAAATCAAAATGACAGTTTTATGGCTTTTAGTCCATGTTTGTTAGCTTTAACAGTAAATGCTATCGCACTTTGAAAAGTTTTCTACGAAACCAAAAATATTAACGATTCATCGTGCACACAGATTTCGTCCTGTAAAATTAGATTTGTCTGGACTTCAAGCTTTGAATGCTTATATCTTCTAAATGCGAATTTTGTCACTGTTTTGGAGCACACTGCCTTATAGATAACCTTAAGACTAACATATTGATACTAACACCCAAAAAACTTTAATTTTGATTTCATGGGGACTTTAAATAGGAAATGCATCAACAATTTCATGTGGTTATTTCAAACCAGCTTATGATTGGGAAAACTATGCTGTTTCAGTAGTGACATTATTTGTAGCTCATATATTAAATTAATGATATAATTGTTAATAATGATAAATAAAAATTACTGTAATTAATTAACATTATTGATCATTTTAAAAAGTATTTTTCAACTTTAGTACCAGCAGCAGAGACATTTTGAAAAACTATACTAATTTGACAACAGCTAAACTATTTTTATTCTACTAAAAATGTAGTTAAATTAGTAGTCTCGCTATTTGTACTTCCCAGTGCAGTTGCTCGCATAGTAGAAATTATGAGACATTACACTTTCTGAACATTAGCAGGTTAATTATTTGCAATTTTCTGTACTCTGCACGTCATTAAAAAGGCGATCTGGCTAACTGCTTCTCGCTAATGCTAGGAGCGACTGGATATTGTGTATTAGGTTGTGCATGTTCTCTGTGCTTCTGATTATTGTGTATAAAATGTATGCTGTTGTACTGTATTGATCGACTTTGTGCATATATGTTGGATGTTAAACATGTAGTAAATATGTGTCACGATGACTTAAGTAAACTTGATTGATACCCTCCCTCCCTTCATTTCACGCTCGCCTCATTCTTTGTCATAAAATCATTTCTGGCCTCATTTCTCACCTAACCCCCACCCCCCCCAACTCCACCTTCCCACAATCCTATCTAACGTCCATCTGTCCATCGCATTACCTTCTCATCCATCTGGTGCTAACCTGTCGTCCTCTCTCTGTCTCCATCTTTCTCCCTTTGTTCTCCAGGCTTTGTGAGCTTTGATAACCCGGGCAGCGCTCAGGCCGCCATCCAGTCCATGAACGGCTTTCAGATCGGCATGAAGAGACTCAAAGTGCAGCTGAAGAGGCCAAAGGACGCCAACCGCCCATATTAGCCCCGTCCCTCCCCCCAGCCACCCCTGACCCTGGGGGTGAAGGCCGCCGCTGCACACAGGGAACGATAGGTTAGCCAAATCACCTTGGAGCCAAAAGACACACAGATACACACATACTGACACATCTCTAGTCTGGGGCAGGGCTGTGACGGAAAGAGAAAGATTAGTCGTTTCCATGTATCTCAGATCATCTCACATCTCCTCATCTAAATGAAGATGGAAAATCAATGCTGTGTCATTAATTTACCCTGCTGATGCCTTTTAACTGGGCCAGGCTATTATCTACTTACACAGCTAGTGGCATCTCACACAGTACGGCTCCTGCACATCTCAGCACTAACCACATACATTAAACCCTTTTCCAGATACACTGCAAAAATCATTTTGCTTATTTCTGTCGTTTTACAGCAAAATAGCTAAACATCATTATAACAATATAAAGAATCAAAACGTCAGACAAGGTCTAAATGTAATACTTAAGATTTTTTTTTTTTATTAAAATATATATGGAGTTTATTTGCAAAAACAGATAACTGTTTTTTTTTTTATTTTCAAAAATCATGTTTTTTATTTTGTTATGTTTTTATTGTGTTTTGTGTTATTTAGCTGTATTTTTAGTTGTTTTTTAACCTAATCAAAATAACCCAACTGCAGTTTGAGATTAATTGGAATGCACAATGAAAAAAAACATGATTTTTGAAAATTGTTAAAAACTGAGCTCTCTGCTTTCGCAAATGAACTCTTCATATATTTTTGCTGACATATATGTGTGTGTGTGTGTGTGTGTGCGTGTAGTTTTGTTGAATAGCTTGATTAATACAAATAATTTTTATTTATTGCCCATTTTCCCAGAAGAGAAAACAATTATATAATAATATTATATTATAATAAATTAAATAATACAATTGACTAATTAATTAATTGCATTAATAATTATTAGCAAATAAAACCATAATTACTATAAAAAAACAATTATTCGTAATAATTAATTGTATTAATAATTATAAATAAAGCAATTAATATAAAAATTATTAACTTTAGTATAGTAGCTCTTTATGCAAAATTATGATTTTTGGACCATTTTCCCAGAAATGAAAAATATTATATTATGTAATTATATCTATTATATTATAATAAATTAAATAATATAATTGACTAATTAATTAATTGCATTAATAATTATTAACAAATAAAACCATAAATACTATAAAACATTATAAAAAAATGTTTTTTTTAAATGTTTGTCAAATGTTTAATACAGCAGCAACAGATGGACTAAGCTAACAAGCATGAATTAAAAGCCACAAGATGTGGTCTTTAAAGTCACAATGAAACAGCACATCACCAGACAAGTGTGATGTTTTCACCAGAAGATCCAGTTATGACAATGTGATTAAACATTACAAGGTCAAAAAAATGAATGAATAAATTAAAACACATGCATGACTAGATGAGGTGAATTTTCATTTCATACCTTTAAATGCTTCCGTTCTTTTTGTGTTTCCTTCCTAGGTTTTGTAGAGCTGGAACACATGTTGATAACATGCCAAATGTATTTGAAAACACAACAGATCAAGATCATCGGGGCTGGGGATACAGTAGAGCTGAAGCGGGACATGAGGAGGACGTAGCTGCGTGATATACCACCACCAGGCTCAATGGACCTTTTTGGACTTCAGTGTTTAACTCAGGGGAGTTACTGGACCATACCGTACTCCCTTCTCCGAACCCCCGAGCCCTTATTTTGCAGGACCACAGGACACACTACTGAAGACCAACACAAAATATATATATATATATATATATATTTAAAAAAAGAAAAAGAAAAACAATGTAAGCCCTTAAAAGGCTCCGAATCTATGAATAAGTAGTATGGAAAAAACACTTTTTAAAACTAAGATAGACTTTTAGATGGGAATCATGTAATATTGAACACGTCTTTGGGAAAACTTTTTAAAGAACTGTTTTAGAAACCAACAAAACGGATTAAAAAAAGAACAAAAACTTGAAAGACAGAACTTTTTGGAAGGATGTGACAATTCAGGACAAGAACTTGCTTCGACTCGGGATGGCCAACTTTTTTCTTGGAGTGCCTGTCCGTTTCCAGGGGCAACGGCTGCCACAAACCGCAGCCTCCATCCGCTGGGAGACTTACCTGTCATTCCTTAGTTGTGTAGGGACCAAATGACCAAACCTTTTTATCACAAATGAAACAGAAAAAAAAAAAGAAAAACAAGTAGATAGAATAGAAAAAATAGAAAGCTAGTGTTTGTTGGTTTAAGAGTTTGATTTAAAAAAAAAAAAAAAAGAAGAAGATATATGTATAAAAAGACCATATATGACTATATGCATAAACGCATACATATAGATTGCTGATATGCTTTTGAATACTGGCAGAACTATTTCCAATGGCCCATTGAGGCTGCTCACTTCGCTAGTTTACAATTACTGCTCAAAATGAAAAATATTTATTTTTATTTCTCTTCTAGTTTTTCTCTGTGGTGAGAGAAAGGGTGCATGGGAAGGGTTGTTCCATAATGCAGCCTTACCTTTTCTATCTTATGTCCTGACCTTGTAGTTAAGAGACCATCTTAAAGAGGTTTGAGATAAACTGTCCTGTTTATATATACCGTACATACAATATGTATATGTATAGCAGACGTTCAAGCAATATGTATTCATATTTATGCACATGTACAGCATATATATGGATACATACGATATTAATCCCAAAACCCATATATGTATTTATATGCATATATTTTATATGTGTGTGTATATATAGAAACCGACTATTCAATATGTAGAGCTGTAAGGTTTTTTTTTTTTTGGTAGATTTAAGCTGGAGTTTGAAACCACTGCTCTGCTTTGGACTTTTACCACTGGGAAGAATCTCAAATAGGCAGCTGCAATCTGCAGGCATTCCTCTCGATCCGATATAACGTTCCTTATCCGCCAACACAGACACACACACACACAAGGGTAGGAAAACTGATTCCGTTTGTGTATATATGTGTATATGCTACTTACAAATGCAAAAAGGCCTCCTCTCGTAAGAGTTTAAAGAGAATCAGGATCATTACGAACTAGTACAGAATGCGGACATATCTGCCTCCCGCCTCTGCAAACATTCGCAAACAAACGACGTTTTCATTCGAACCGAGCGCTGGCTTTAAAAACGAACGCCTGGCGGTTTTTCTAACTTTGATCGCCTTCTTGTTCGCGCATGCGCCGTCGAATCGTCAGCAGTGCGTCCGTGCACCTGGCAGCACTGTGCTACGACACCGCTAGCAGCCATTCATTATTATTATGATGTCAAAACAACAGAAACACTCTTCTTCTTTACAAAATCAAAAAGACAAAAAAGAAACCTACTATAGCTACAGCTAACAGCGAAGCCTTCAAATATCTGTTGACATGATGACAAACCTGTGCAGCTTGACACCGCCATTTACCGATTTACACCCACTCGACGTTCTGCTTACGGTTACAATGAAGTGGGCATTATGTACGTTTTGCACAAGTATCGTCAGAATCCGCATCACATCGCGTGTTTACATGTGCTGCTTCAGCGTTCAGACGGATTCGAGGGGTTTTTATGCATTTGTCATTTTTATTTATTTTATTTTCTT